AAGGAGAGACAGAGAGAGAGGGGGGGGAGGCAGGGAGAAAAGAGAGAGAGGGAGATTTGTTTCTATCAATGGCCTCAAGGGCCCATAAAGTTTTACAAGGGCAATTGCGAAGGTCCGCTTCAAACATCATACGATTTCTTGTAAATTGTTTAACCTAAAAAACACTTTTGCTGTTTACAATCTTAATAGATGTTTACGAAACAGTATATCTACTTTCTTACTGGATGTAAACACTTTAAGAATTTTCAGTGGGGAGCAATTCATGTTATGAGAAATAAACATGCGATACATATTTTTATACAAGTACAGTATCTGAGTGTCCCAGTGCAGACCAACTTTGGAAGGTCTGTAAAATGATACCGTGTGCCTTCTCATTTCCAAGGGTGCGAGCTCAGTTGATCTCCTGAATCAATAAAGAGGGTTCCCTCAAAAAGCAAGGAAATGATGTCTTTCTTTATGATTTATTGCGTTTACAGAGGCATCAACTGGTTGGAAAATCTCCTTGCTTTTTTTTTTTTCTTGTCTGTCTGTTGGTTATTTTTGCAGTCAACTTCCAACTCTGACACTTGATTTTATTTGTCATGACAAAATGCCTTTTTTTCATTTTTGGTGCCACATTTTTTTAATTTGCTGAATCGAAAGCCGGATCAGTTAACCCTACTTGTTTGAAAAAATCAAAGCAAAGCTGTGACTAGTTTTTTAGTAAATTAGAATTCAAATTTCAGAAGAACACCTTGTCAGCGTACGTCAGTAATAGTAATATGCTTCTCCTTCACTTTAGCTTAGATACGCTGGTGGTTGGAGGGGGTCCTCGGTCAGGTCTACTTCTTTTCTTTACCTCGGTCTGTGTCCATCTCTATGTGTATAGTTCTGTTCCTGACACTATACGACTATTGTTTTGTGGATGTGCTTTTCTTCACTGAAAACTTGCTAAGACATGTTATTTTAACCGTTGTTCGTGGTGCAACAGTTAAGCACTTCGCTGTCACTTGCAGGAGACCTGAGATTGATTCTCGAGTGTGGAGAACATTTTTTTTTAGGAGTAGGTAGGTCTTTCTGCTTGATGCATCCTTCTCAGCCCAGGTCAGCCTTGACTGGCAGCTATGAAGCCTGCCTCATAAATTATTTAAATTGATTAGATGGGGATGTAATGAAAAAATAGCCCATGTAAAAAAATAATTTTTCTTTGATTTTACTTGCACATTCCTGTATGTATGTATGTTTGTTTGTTTGTTTGTTTCAGGAGGGTCGCAACAACGACAAGTTCTACACCCACCCCCAGAGCCACGACGCCCTCCCTGCCTACCAGGTGGCCCACAATCCCTGGTTCTACACCTTAGATCTGTTTGCTGCCGTGGTTGTCATGTTGCTGGCTGCCTGCGAAAAACCCGCCGTTGCCTCACTGGAGATGCCTGTTGGGGTGAGTCTGCCGTGGGAAGTTTTGTGTTTTGTTTAGGTAATGATAGTGACGGCCTTTTGGCTCCGATCAAAGTGTAGTATCTGTTCGCTACTCCTCCGGCCTTGTGCCTCCTGGTTTAGCGAGCCGAGGCACTCCGAGGGACGGAGAAATCTGACCCTCTTTTCTATCGGGTGGACGGTTATCGTCCGCTAAAATTTAAAAAAACAAAATTTTAAAAAAGGTAATGATAGTGACGATAATAATAATAATGATAATGATAATAATGGTATTGATAATAAGAATAATAATGATGATAAAATGTTGATAATAATGACAATGATAACAATAATAATAACAACAATAATTATAATGATAATACATGGCATTTATATATTGCATTTCCACATTTTACAATGCTCAATGTGCTTTACAAGACATTTTGATAGCCTATGATGTCATACAATTATATGCAGCATTCAAGCAGAAGGGCACGTAAAATAAAATGACATCAGTATGTATCTCAGTGTATTGGTAAATGAATATAGGGATAAAGACAGGGACAAGTGTGTATAGGAAGAATTCATTTAATCATAAGGCCTTTCAAGGCTCAGAGTGGAGCACAAAGGAGGAGTCCTGAGATCTTTGGTTGTATCGAAAAATTATGTGACTGGAGAAATGATACTCACAATGGCAGCATATGTTCAGAATTTTTGCTTGATATGGTATGTCCATTTGAAAATACATTCACACCTGGATTTTACTGAGAAATATTGATCAAAGGGACAAAAAATGTAAATTTGCAATTTCCAAGGACAAACAGCTTTGGAAGTCATTTTCTTGCTAATTTTACATATGATACCAGATGAACCCCACCTCCTTCAATCGCAAATATCTAGACTTTTATTAAAGATGATGGATATTTTTTTCTTCATCAAATGCAAGGAAAATTAAGAGGCTTTAAGATTATACAGATAACTACATGCCCAGCCCAAAATTTACAAGTGCCTGATTCCACCTTGTTGTGACACGAATGCTGGTTCACCTTCATTATTTTTATTGTTACACTTTAATAAATAACCTACAATGCAAGTTGAAATTAAAAACAATGCATCTCAGTTGAAATGCAGTCAAAAGGAACCTCTGATTAGTTCACTGAGATTAAGTTGCATCTGGATATAAATGTGCCCTTTAAGGAACTAATTTTTTTAGGTGAACAGCTTAACATAAAATTTTTTTAAAATACGATTAGGTATAACATTTTATTTGTTCTTGTTTATCGATAGCTTTTTCCCCTACTGTGTGCGTGTTTCTTATTATTTTGTAAGATGATTATTTTGTCAGAACAGAAAAGTGATGAGTCTAACAGAAAACTGTCATCGTCATAGTACGTGCTTTTTTTTAGCTAAATTTACAGAGAACTAAAAAAAAACAACTCAAGACTCTAGATAGTCACATTGATGAGTTAGATAAAGAAGTAGGGCACTTTTCTTTTTTCATGAGCATATTTTTTGCTGTTCACTAACTTGATGGTTTAAGTTGTTGACAAAGTTTCGAACTATCCGCTCTGACATATGGCTGTCTAACAGGGACTTCTCCAAATTGCTGTAACTGTTGCAAGCATGTTCTGTATCTGTGCAGGACAAATTCCAAACGTTGACCCTAATCTTTCACCTGATAATAAACTTTTCTGGAGTTACGTCTGTGTCAAGATTATCATTTGAATTTGTATCTTATATATGATATTCTTATCTCGTCTTACATAATGAGAAAGGGAATGACATCTGCATATTCCTTTGGCTTTTATCTTGTTGAACCCTGTCAGATATTCTGTGATGTTTAACTTTAGAGTGAGATAGTTTTACTTTACTCGTGAAAAAAACAAAGAATATTATATGTCTAGGAACAAAAAACTGAAATATCATTTATGATAATGATATGTACTGTAAGTGTGTTCATGCCTGCGTGCATGTGTGTGTGTGTGTTTGTGTGCCAGGAACTGGACAATAGAGATTTATCTTACCTTGTTTTATATTGGGTAAGTATATGAATATTAAAGTGGGAATGCTAGAACTAAACACAACATAAGTTCTATGAAACAAAAGCTGAGAGATCTGTTCAGTAACTGAGACAAATTATGTAGTGAGGCTTTTGAAAAAGTAAAGATTAATGTAAATGGAATTGATGTTAAAAAAGACAAAAGTTTTCAACCCCAGTGATTCTGGAAATATAAATAGTGCACTCTCCAGTCGTAAGGGGGTGCCGTTGCCCCGCCTTTGCTTTCACTTTTATGCTACCGCCTTCCCGGAGTAGGGTGAGAGGTTTTTCCCTTTACTCACAATATCTTCTCTCCAGTTGTTTTTTGAGGTCATCGGTTGATTTACCATTTCTAGTTCATATTCTTTACCAACAATAGTCGCCCTTTTGTTCAACATTCTGTGCACTTAATAAAAAATAATGATAATGAATAGCTTTTGTATAGCGCATATCCCCGCTCAACAGCACAGCTCTATGTGCTTTACAATATGTATTATTACCCCAGCAGAGGGTGCTGTGGTGGAGTGGTTAGTGCGCTCATCTCCGAAGCAGACAGTCGGGTTCGAGCCTTGGTGCAGACACTGATTTTCTTTCACCCCCTCCTGCCCACTCAGCAGTAATGGGTACCTGACTTCGAGTTGGGGAAGTAAAGGAATTGGCCACCCTACCACAATATGCCGAAGGCCCAGGGAGTTGTCTCACTAACAAGGCAATCCCCAATGTCCGGATCGGATGCGGGAACAACCTTACTTTACCCCAGCAGACCGTAAAACACTCAGAAACATTCTCAGTGTCCCGGGTAGCACACAGTGCTAGCAGCCAATTAAGTGCTTAAACGCTGACAAAGTGACAAGATCTTTCATTGTCTGTAGCTGGGTACTTAGTCTTTCCGAGCTCTTTATGTTCACATTCTTTTGTACGAGGTAGAAGTGATGGTTTGCTGCAGATGCTGGATCCTGACTCACCTTTTTAGCTAGAAATGAAATCAAAGCTATAGCTTGAAATGACTTATTTATTTTTATCATAGTTAAGCTTGCCAGCGACAAAATCCCATGGGAGAAACAAGTAGCAAGTCTGGCGGGTTTAGGGGGGTTTGAACTCAAGCACTTCTTTTTTAAGTGGTCGGTTTAAGCAAGGTTTGATGTAGTGAAATACAGTCCATAAAGCCATTTATTTAGCATATGTGAAGCATAGTGGTGAAATCAGGCGCTCATAAAAATAGTGAAATCAAAGAAATTGGCATTTTTCTGACTGTTCGACAATTTTTTTTTCTTAATTTCTATTTTTGGTTCAGCACCTTTTATATCCATTTAAAAACACATTTCTGTGTGGATTTTACTTAAAAACATTGCTTAAACCAAAAAAAGTATCAATTTTCAGTTTCCAAGGACTCCCAAGCTATGGAAATTACCAAAATTTGGTGGCTATTTTCTCTCTTATTTCACCTCTAAAACCAGGCGACCCTGACCTCCTTCAATTGCAAATATTTTGACTTCTATTCAACATAGATGAATGTAACATTTTTCACTAAGAGCAAGGCAAATGAACAGGTTTCAAGATGATACCAATAACCCCATATGCCCAAAAATTGACGAGCGCCTGATTCCTTCAAGTCGCGACACTTATTGCTAGCTTCACAAAACAGACTGTTTGTATCTCAGAGGGCATTACACTCACTGATATCAGGCTGGACAACAAAGCAGATGGCCCTGGTTCAAACCCAAAATGGGGTGTTTTTTTAACTTGGGTTCTTTCGAGAAGTTTTAATAGGCTATCCACCTATTTGGATTTGTCTTATCTGAGATGGATGTTAAATTCGGAGGTTGCCGCCTTTTAAATAACCTTACAATGTTAAGTGGGGCAATAAATCTATACAACAGCATCAAACTCCCTCAAGAAAAAGGATATTCAGATAACGAACTTCATACCAGGGGCAGCAGATAGTGAACCTTTACCTCTTTGTCTTGTCATATTTTTTCCTTCTCACATACAGTCCTTTCACTACATATTTGTTGTCTTTGATGGTTTCTCTTACAGATTCATGGCTCTATCGAAATGTTGTGCTTGCTCATACTCAGCCTTGACCTTGGTATCAGAGCCAAGTGGCTGGGCTGGAGAGTCTTCATCAAACACAAACGTACTGTTGTCAAGGTAAACTATAATTTTCTGTTCTTCTTTTCAATCTGCTTTTATACTTCTCATATATAAAAACTTGTTTTTGGTATCACTGCAAGTTTTTCAACACTTTTCTTGTAGTTTGTATTTTAAATTTGGGAGTGCTTATTTAGGCCACATATGGCCTAAATAAGGTAAGGGAGGGGGGTTTAGCTTATTTAGGCCACAGTGGACTGTGGCCTAAATAAGGTAAGGGAGGGGGGTTTAGCTTATTCAGGCCACAGTGGACTGTGGCCTAAATAAGGTAAGGGAGGGGGGTTTAGCTTATATAGGCCACACATGCTCAAACTACCCTTTTCAGGCAACTGAGTTCATTCCACTTTCATAATGGTGCACCTTTCTCATTTAGTACGGTTTTGTCTCAGTGTACAACTTATAAATCATAACCATAATGAATATTGTAAAGAACAAAGCACAATACGCAAAATTTTGCTCAATCCCAATGGTTTGAATGAGGGCCAGATTTTTCCTTCATGGAGGGGCAAAAGCTAGGCTACCATTTTGGCACACTTTGGTCAAGTGAAAAGGTCAAATCCTCCGAATGGACTTCCGGGTTAAATTTGGGGTATAAAAAGTGTGTACACTACGTGGCTGAGTCAAAGTTACACTATCTTTGTCTGAGTGACACTCTCTCTTACTGTCTCGTAGTAGTACATGTAGGCTAGTAGGCCTAGTAGTAGTAGTAGCAAAGATCGTGTAGAGAATATTTGGTAGTAGATTCTATCTATAGGCAGTTTAGTGAACGTGCTCGCAGCAGGGCGAATCGGCCTCGATAAGCCCCGTAGACTTTTGTGATCGGCCACGAAGCCTCGTGTTTTGATGGGTCTAGATCTAGATCTAAACAACTCAGTGTTAATCACACTGCCACATCCGACAGGCCTAGATCTACATCTTTTTAAAAGGAAAACAAAGATCATCAAAATGGTTGAATTCGCCTGAAAATCGATTCGGTAGAACTAGAACTATTAAAATTTGCTTCTGAAAACAAGGCAATTTTTATACGAAGGCCATTTTTATAACTCGGTGAAATAAAAACTACTGGCTGTGTACTGTGTTATGCTGTATAAAAATAAATTATGAAACTTCAGGACGTATTATTATTTTCCAGCATCTTTTGACGCCTGAGCTGTAGAGGTTGAAGTTTTCACAACACTAATAGATCTAGTAATAGGCCAGGTAATAGGGCTTTCCGTAAAAAATGCATAGATCTACAAAAGCCGAACCACCGAATCGACCGAGCACCTCGCTCTCCCCTGCACACTGTGATAACGTGTTGCTTCGGTATCGCATTATTCAACTATTAATACGTGCGGCTATGGCAATTGGGATGTACTGACTGACAAAAAATTCAGTTTTGGTTTTATTTTACCATATATTTGACTTAAATAGTGCAGGCGATAGCAAGATCTAGATTCCCTGTCTAGAATCAGTAGTAGCAGGCCTATGCTAGAAGTAGCCAGAGAGCCTACAACTGCTAGATCTAGATCTAACTTATTATTGCTATGCCTTTGGGCTTTGGAATTGAAATAAAACGAATTGCACAGTTCTAGTTACTTTTAGATTCAGCAAGTAACTGTATTTCCAGAGTTAATAATAACAAATCTCAGCATAACAATCACTTTTACTTTTATTAGAATAATTAGATCCAACTTTTTTTCTAAAATCTGTTTTGCGCAAACTTAAGATTTTCTCTACTTGTAGAGCAGAGAATTTACATTGTAAGCCTCTGCTCAGTCTTTTAGTATACATATAATAAAATACACACACACACACACACACACACACACATATATATATATATATATATATATATATATATATATATATATATATATATATATATATATATAGAGAGAGAGAGAGAGAGAGAGAGAGAGAGAGAGAGAGAGAGAGAGAGAGAGAGAGAGAGAGAAAGAGAGAGAGAGAGAGAGAGAGAGAGAGAGAGAGAGAGAGAGAGAGAGAGAGAGAGATCTATATCATCATTTTATGTTGTTTTCGGGATATTTTTAAAACTCTTTTTTTTCAAAATGTCATAAAATCAAATTGTGCCATTTTCTTTGAAAAGAATAGCATTAGCAGTGGACTTTTTAGAAAGCGAATCTCTGATTCAATATTTTTTTAAAAATATGCTAATCAATGAAAATTGCAAATTGATAATAGTTTAGTCCTGAAGAGGATAGGTGGACTCCGGGGTCTGCAAAGCGAAATACTAGGTTTTAGGATGTAAACCCCGGAGTCACCGTAGTGAAATAAGGTTTGGTTTAAGTAAGGATTGGTGGACCCCGGGGTCAACGTAGTGATAAATAAGCAGGTTTAAGGTGGACCCCGGGGTCTACCTAGCGAAATACTAGGTTTTAGGACAGGTGGACCCCGGGGTCACCGTAGTGAAATAAGTATGTTTCTTTAAAGATTGGTGGACCCCGGGGTCAGCGTTGTGAAATAAGTAGGGTTAATTTTAAAAGGATTGGTGGACCCCGGAGTCACCATAGCCGTAGAGGAATAAGAAGGTTTAATTAAGGATTGGTGGACCCCCGGGACACCTAGATTAAACCTACTTATTTTACTACGGTGACCCCGCAGGTTCCACCTATTCTAAAAACCTAACTAGCATTTCGTTAGGTAGACCCTGGGGTCCACCTTAAACCTACCTATTTCACTACGTTGACTCCAGGGTCCACCAATCCTTAAAATTAAACCTAGATCTACATGTACTTATTTCACTACATTGACCCCAGGGTCCACCAATCCTTAATTAAACCTAGATCTATTGATTTCACTTCATTGACCCCGGGGTCCACCAATCCTTAATTAAACCTATATCTACTTATAATTTCACTACGTTGACCACGGGCTCCGCCAGTCCTACTATAAAATAAACTGAGATCTACTTATTTCACTATGTTGACCCCGGGGTCCACCGATCCTTAGTTAAACCTAGATCTACTACTTATTTCACTACGCTCACTCCGGGGTTCACATCCTAAATCCTAGCATTTTGTTAGGTAGACCCCGGGGTCCACCTATCCTTTTGGCTAGATAGACCTTGTAGTCCGCCTATCCACTTTCTTGATAATAACTGAAAACAATACATGCCAGTTGTCATGAATAGTGAAGAAAAATGATGGAAAAAAAAGACAATGAGGTAGACTATAATTTATCAAAAAAGTTGCAAGTGCAAGTGAAGATCATAAAATAATTTTGTTATCTTCAGGTCATCTTTCCCGGTTTATAAAAAAAATTCAGTGGGCCTACTACTAGATCTGTGTCTCTGAAGAACATTTTGCTTGCCTTTATTAGCTTTTTTCATGTACATGAAAGCATAGAATATATAGTTTCACACAAATATATGTGAGGCATGCTGACAAAATGAGTTACTTCTCGTAGTCTAAGAAGGGAGATATCGGCGAAAATCGACACTAGGGTCAGATTAATAGATTTTCAGTTGACGCCATTTTCTTCAAGTCTACTGTGTCTTTTAGTATTACATGCTTACAAACTGTACAAACTTCACCTATAAAGTTGATGGATCAATTTCCATTGGGCTGAAATCCGAAAAGTAACTCATTTTGTCAGCCCACCTCACATATGCACAATACTTTGAAAAAGAAAGATATGGTCATTGTTTTTTTACGGAATCCGTTTTACGTTGAGAAAAGCGCTAAAAACAAGTTTAAAAATTTTAAGAATGCCCATAATATTAGTATTAGGAATCCGAAATTACTACCTAGTTGGCTTACTCTTTAATAACCATGAGCAGTTAAGAAAAAAAAAGACAATGATATAGGATTTGTCTAAATATGACCATTAGCAATAAAGATTCTACCCATTTTGTCCAATTATCCTTGCAGGTAAAATCACCCTGCACTGTACCCCAATAAGCACAAAAGGAATATTTCTGTGACTTTGTATAAAGGTGTGGCCTAAATAAGGTAAGGGAGTGGGGTTTAGCTTATTTAGGCCACAGGTGTGGCCTAAATAAGGTAAGGGAGGGGGGTTTAGCTTATTTAGGCCACCTGTGGCCTAAATAAGGTAAAGGAGGGGGGTTTAGCTTATTTAGGCCATATGTGGCCTAAATAAGGTCACCCTTTAAATTTAGGTGACATCTGAAAAAAAATTTAAGGTTCTCCTTTTCATGTGTCAAAAGTAGGTTGTGAGACATGACCCCATGATTTTTGTTGTTTATTTTCATTTATTTATTCTAAAGAATTTTGGTAGCATTGAATGCCTAAATTATTGTTATCTGATTTGTATTTAGTGATAGAGACAAGTAGTTTTTACAGAATTGTTTGATATTAAAGTTTTGACTAATAGTCTCAACTTATAGGTACCGTAGTAAATTGTTCTTTTTCTTATGGTGAATTTTTCAAAAGCGTTTCATTGGCAAGCTGTCAGACTAAGAATATACTAAATCCAGAAAGCAAAATTTTTGCTGGAGAGAGGGAAAAAACTGTTTCATTCTTTTAGCAATTTTACTTACATTATGTATTTTTCCTTGGTTTTTCAACATTTAGAATTTGAATTTTAACCAAATGTTTCTTGGGCACTCGCAACTGACACCACAGACCAAAACACTTACTGTACCGAAGGCTCATATAGTGAAATACCCTGGGGTAGTGCACCAGTTTCGAACACTGAAACCGTTGGTAGATTTTTTTTTAATTAGAAAAACCGTGACTGCCCAAGAAACAAAGCATTTAGCTTTCATAGAGAGTGACTTAGTTTGGTATTTACTTCAGTGCAGTGCAGTGCACCCATTTGTTGTTTAATTATGTTTAGTGTGCCTGGTCAAAATTTTGGGCTCAGTACATTTTAACACCTGGTGGATGTTGTGAGTCCATGTTCAATATTTTGTCCTTTTCATTGCACAAAAAGTGTATTATGATGTGAGAAATAATTCTGAGCATCAGATTTTATTGTTTCAATTTTCATTTCCTGTTTCACACAGTCGTTCATGATACTGCTGATGCTGACAGAGGCCGTGGTGGTGTTGGTTCGGCAGGCGAACCACTTCAGAGTTACCCGAGCCCTACGTCCACTCTTCCTCATCCACACCCATTACTGCCAGGGTGTCCGCAGGTAGGCAGCGAATGTTGGCCTGTTTCACAAAGCTTTCAGAACTTTTGATCTGTTAAAAACATTTTTGTGAGGCACCATGGTGAAATCAGACGCTTGTCAAAATAATGAAATCAAAGAAAACGGCATTTTTCCGCAGGTTTCCGCAGGTTTTACAATTTTACTGAATTTTTGTTTTTTGGCTCCTCACCTTTTATTTCCATTTAAAAACACATTTGCATGTGGATTTTACTGAAAAGCATTGATGAGAGGCAAAAATAAATCAAGCTATAGAAATCACTCAACATTGATGGCCATTTCTTGCTTATTTTACCACTGAAACCAAATGACTACTACCTCCTTCGATCACAAATATCTCGGCATCAATTGACGATAGATGGCGTTTATTTTTCATCGAAAACAAGACAATTGAACCAGCTTTAAGATGATACAAATAACTCTGCATACCCAAAAATAGACAAGCGCCTGATTCCACCACGTTGTTACACCTTTTAACTCTAATACATGCATTGAATACGTTTTAAGTTGTTTTTATTTTGTGTGTTTTCTGCCAAAGCAGTTCTCTTTTAATGAAGTTTCAATAATACTTACTTGCTTACTTGGTTGGAAAAAAGGCATCACTGCAGGCAGCACAATGCCATAGCTGCTCCTCCCTCCTCTCCAGGATCCATGAAAGGGTCTGCGTGCTAATAGTGCCAGTTATCAGCTGGTTGGATATTCTTCTGGCTTTTCCATGCAGGTTGCTGTCTCTCCCTGACCCTCTAGAGACACCAGCTTCCCTCAGTCTTTCCAATGTGTGTGATGTGATTCCTTTTTCGTCTCTGTGGTCATTGAACCATGCTGGCTATCCTTACAGAGCTCTTAATCTTTTAAAAACATTCGTGAGGCATCATGGTGAAATCCCATGCTCATGAAAATAATGAAACGAAAGAAAACAGCATTTTTGTGCAGGTTTTGCAATTTTTATTGAAGTGAAGCCCATATTGTCTTTCAGAGCTTGTGTAAGTTTCTGTAATGATAATTATTATTGATTATTTTGAATGCTTTGTGTAAGAATCTGTCATGCACCAGTTGGAAAAGCTTTGAGTTTTATACTGAGCAGGTTTTATGAGTGCCAGAGATTAAAGGTGTTATTTAAAAAAGGAGAAATAAAAAGGATGGTAGATGTTTGATAGAAAAAAAAAGGAGCAAACTAAATCAGAGCACCTGCTATCCACCCAACTTCATTTATAAATTAATTTTTAGAGTTGTTTTAAACAGTTGTTTTTTTGTATCTGAATTAATACAGCCTTTTCATGTGATGAGAGGTCTTACATTTTATGATCAAATATAACATTTCTGTGGGTGGTGGGCTGGTGCTGTGATGTGGTTTGCTCCTTTTTTCCTATTCAAATATCTGTCATCCTTATCTCTCCTCCTTTTTTTGTGTTCGTTACTCTGTTGTGTAACACCTTTAATATCCAGCACTTATATGACCTCACTGTGTTGCAAGTGTCGTAAAACTCTTACAAATACTAAACTAATAACATTTTTATGTTCTCTGTCTTAGACTAGGTCTCTCTTTGACACCACTAATGTGTGCAGTTTTATTTTCTATTCTCAGAATTACTCGGCAGATCATGCAGTCTATGCCGCCCATCTTGGATATGATTCTCCTGCTGCTTTTCTTCATGCTTATTTTCTCCATTTTGGGTAAATGTCATCAAAGTTTTTTTCTACTGAATTATCATCATCATCATCATCATCATCATCATCATCATCATCATCATCATCATCATCATCATCATCACTGTCTTTCTCACCCAGCATCAAGGTATAGGACACCAACAATCAGTCCCCAGCTTTCTCTATCCTGAATAAATGTCATCAAAGGTTGTTGTTTTTTTACTGAATGACTCCTTTTTTTTTTATAGCTGGCAGAGTGAATTTATGTTTTTGTATGGGGAACTACTTGGGACTAACAAAGTGATAACCCCTTATATGACCTGTTTATTGTAGTGGTCCAATGAACAAATATCTCGTTTGGAGAAATAACAATTTGTTCAGGCTTTTTTTTGGAGGTTTTCAGATTCTAAAGTTTATGAAATAGAAAGGTTGGCTATATATATATTATAATATATATTTATTTGAAAGTTATATAAAGTCCACTTTCCAGAATCCAAGTCCTGTACTGTATGTCACCACATTGCACCCCAGGTACAGCAGTACATTTTCTTTTTTTTCCAGGATTTTATTTATTTTCTGGAATAGCCGATTTTCAGGTGAGTTACTATAAATGTATTTTGTTTCGAATTTACTCTTTTATATTACTTTCGTCTGTGATGTGATCGAAATTTGTCATAACTGGTTCATCTTGTAACATAATGCCATCTCTGTCTGCTGTTTCTCCTTTGTGTTGTTGTGTTTGCTTCTTTTTAACCCTCAATTGAATTCTTGTTTACTGAGCTGTAAATTTGTTTGGAAATGAAACTTGTCTTGTCAGTTAGATTTTTCTTTGAATCTAGTTTTTGTCTTAAAATCTTTGACAAAACACTGTGTAGTCATATCGCTTTGGCAGTCTGTACATTCTGTATTTTGGATAACTCCTTTTATTTCTTTTTACAGTCTCTGTTATAATAATGTGTACCTATTATCAACAACTTGGTGTAAGACACCACCATAATATGCCATTTTGCAAAGTGACATATAATGGAGTCTTACCCTGAGCAGTTATTCTGTTGTCATTTTTAGCTTTATTTGATTTACTTTAACTCAGTGTCTTCATGCTTCTGGCTCAGGCATTAACACAGAAGACCGCGTCTTGTTTTTGTACTTCATAAAATAAAGTTTCTCTTCAACAGAGCTTTTCCACCATCAAAGACAGCTTTATCAGTCTATTTGTGCTGCTGACCACAGCCAAGTAAGTTGGATGTTTATCCTTGGATATGTAGATAAACACGTGAAATAATTTCATGAGGCTAGCCCAGGATAGGGTAAAGTAGAAAGCATTTATTGTTTGTGGCCTATATCCTGATGCAAGGTGAGAAAGGCACTAGCGATGATGGTGATGTAGATGAAGGTATCTTATCTGAGTATTTCTTAATTATTACTTGTGAACACGAACCCCCTTTTTTTCCTTTGAATGATAGTTAACAAAGGCTGATGGTCACAGACCTGCCACTCATCCCGATTTAGTCGGGATATCCCGATTTTTTGCTCCAAATCTCAAGCATCCTAATTTTCCCGATTTGGATCGCGTGTATCCCGATTTTTTGTCCCAGTCTGCTGTTGTGTCGGATTTTAATTAAAACGTACTCTGCCTTCTCCTTTATCGCGGGAAGCACCCGTTTGAACTTTTTGTCAGTAGGGACTCGGAGCACTATTTCCCGAAATATCGATGCCGCAATTAGTAGTTGATTCGCCCCAAGTTGTGTGTGATCTTTGCCCGCACTCAGAATTCTCCGATGATAGCCTGGTAACTGTTACAATTTGGGACATACAAATAATCGATAATATTCGTATTCCGCTGCTACTTTCAAAACAAGCCTTGTCCGAGGTCTGGTAACTGTGCGTTCACACCAAACACTCGGACGAGCGACTGTCTTTCTAACCCTTACAGAACTACATGTAACTGCGCTGACAAGACAAACATACGGCCGATGTCGTTGCTTTAGTCTGAACGCATTATGGCGGATAAGAGATTTGTTGGTACAATTGGTCGGTCGGCCCCTGTTGTTATCCAAGAGTACTAGAAGTGGAAGGACTGTCGCTCATCTGAGAGTTTTGTGTGAACGCACAGTTAGTCGAACCCTTTAATAAAATTGTTTCAATCGAGCATTCGCGTCACCTGACATGGCATCGCCGTGTGAGTTCTGCGTGTAGGGGACCGTCTGTTGTCAGGGTCAACTTAAGTTCATGTATTTCGGGACTTATTGGTTGGGGTGGGGAGGGGTGGTATAGACACTTGGACTAAGAGTGCTTGACGTGATGCTTCAGGATTTACAAAAAATAATGATAACTCGCACGCCCGCGCACACACACACACACACGCACACACACACACACACACACACACACACACACACACACACACACGCGCGCGCGCCCGCGCGCAAACAAACAAAGACACTCAGGGGGCATATAGGCCAAGTAATTTATGGACACCCCTGGAAAAATTCTAAGTCAGCTTTGGCAGTCACCTTGGTGATTTGCTGTTGATCCCGATTTTTTTCACCAAATCCCGATTTTTCTCCCTGAGATCCTGATTTTGAGGTTTCATAGAGTGACAGGTCTGTGGTCACTACATGAAGGTGTTTTCGGTATGTAGATGAAAGCTCTTCTAAACTATTTAATTGATATAGTTATAGATCTGTGCTTGTTTGATAGGTTTCGGAGCAATAATTTTGCATTTATCTCAAGCACTTTTTTGCTCTGTTGGTATTTATTTTGGGTACATGTATGCTTTACACTTACATTAGAAGTATGTGGTAGACCTCAAGGTGGGTGGTTGGCGGGTGCTCTTGTGTGGTTTGCTTCTTCTTTCCTTTCAAACATCTATCGTCGTTATCTCCCCTCCTTCTATTTTTTGTTTGTTACTCTCTTGTAACACCTCTAATCTTCGGGCACTCATATGACCTTATGCAGTTGCGAGGGCCGTGTAAAACCTCTACTAAAACTAAAAAACTTTGCTGAAGTGGTCTCTTTGAAATGGTGTTTTTCTTCATAAAAACCAAAAATAAATTGAAATTGTTTAAATTTTCTACTTTCTCATCCTCAGCTATCCGGACGTGATGATGCCAGCGTATGCTGTGAACAAGTTCTACTCTCTGTTTTTTATTGTGTACCTCTCTCTCGAGCTATATTTCCTCATGAATCTGGTAAGTCTGCCTGAGGTTGCATGAGTTTTCCTGGATGGAGTTGTAGGGTGTGTGTGTGTGTGTGTGTGTTAATGTGTATGTGTGCCTGTGTGTATGTGTCTGTTTGTGTGTGTGTGTGTGTTTGTGGATGTGTGTTTGTGTAAAACTCGGTGCTTTGGTGCCAAAATAATTACCTGGAAACTGAAAATTTACATTGTCGTGCCTAAAGGACAGAAAAGGTGCTCTGTGAAATTAAGAAAATCCCCCAAAAATTTGCCCAAAGTCCGGAAAAATGCTGGTTTGTTTGGTTTCATTGTTTTGACGAGTGCCTGATTTCACCGCAATACCTCACCTACAGTCGAACCTGTGTAAGACAGCCACCCAATGTCATGGAGAAAAGTGGCCGTATAAGACAGGTGGCCGTCTTATGCAGGACTGATCAAGATGAAGAAAACAAACCATTCCCTTCTGAGGTCCCAACCGAAAGTAGCTGCATTGTTTTTGTTGCTGTTGTTGTTGTGTTTGTTGGTTTGTTTTTTGTTTGTTATTCTTATTTTATTGCTGATTTTGTGCTAGGGTGACAATAAAACGGAATGTGTGAGACGAGGAAGACCAAATGCCATGTTAAAACAAACACACGGGTCGCCACCACTCCGAAAACGAGCAGCGCTTCTGTCACAAGTTCATGTTGACGTCCATTGTTACTTTGTTACAGACTAGGAAAACAATGACCACTTATCTCACTTACGATTTATGTATGAGTTGTGGACGGGACTTATGGGTTTTGAAGGATCACATGCTTCCTCCACCAGCAGCTGAAAATTGTGACTTATTGGTCAACAGTGGGAGGGGCCAAGGTGACATGATTGGTTGGAGGGACAACTTAGCCACAAGGACAGGTGATGATTGGATTATGACGACTCGCCCGCAGCACCAGGGGCCAGTGCATAAATTATGACAAAACATAATGGACTCACTAGGTGGCCGTCTAAGACAGTTGTTTTTGTTTGGTATAATAGGGGTTGTGTGTTAAAATATGATGGCCGCAGCCGCGTTGGACAGGTGGCAGTTTTACACAGTGGAATTATATAGTGAATACACAAGGGGGAAAATGGAAAGTGTCCATTTGTACAGGTGGCCGTCTTAAAAGGTGGCCGTGATGGCAGGTTCAACTGTATTTCTTTTTAGCAGGGCATTGTGCTCAAACTGAAAGCAAACTTAAAACTGATGAGATTTTTTCCTGTAATGTAGATCAGATGATGAATTTTTGGTATGTTTACTACTTGAACTTCTTTTCCACTTCTGCTTTTATGTTGACCTACTTATTGGCGTCTGTGATGTAGCGGTTTGGCACTTTTCTGCCTCACCCACGGAAATATTTTTTGTCGCATGTATCGGTCTACCAGCGTTTTAGAAAAAGGAAAAAAAATGTAGATCTGCTTCTTGATGTGTAACTATCTTATTTGAATTTTGTTAATTATGCTGTAAATTGTTAACCCAAGCTTCCCTTTGTTTATAGATAGCTGTGCTTTGGTTTGTATTCTTGATCTGTTCTCCTTTTTTGTGTTTGTTACCCTTTTGTAATACCTAATCTTCGGCACTCTTATTACCTAATTGTGTTGCAAGTGCTGTATAACTCCTACTAAATCTAAAACTCTTTTACTTCCTAATGTAGCGCACCTCTCACTGTTTATAGTGTGTTAGTAAGTGCTGATACGTTTTCTTTTTCCTGCTGTCCTTTCGTGTATAGAATTAATGTATGGTTGTGAAAATTCTTCTTTATGTGCTTGAACTGGTTTTTCTTGTTTCTGTGAAATATTTTCTCTTGTATGAATCGCTCAATGATCGTGTGATTGGCGTAAAGCGCTCAGAGCTCATTCTAGTAAGGGATAGAGCGCTAAATAAATGCATTCTATTATTATTGCTGCTTGTTCACCAGCTCCTGGCTGTGGTGTATGACACATTCTCCAACCTAGAGAAAGCCAAAGTGCGCTCCCTGTTCTTCCACAAACGAGAGGGCTGTGTGCATGCCTTCCGGCTATTAGTCACTCAAAATGTAAGTGCTATAGACTCATAAATATCGTAAAATAAACATGTGGCCTTGTAAATATCAGTGGATAAAAATGGCTATATAATGATTTTTTAAATGAAACTCAATTTTTGTTTAAAAAATCAATTTTTTTTCTTTTGTCCTGTAACTCAGTTCAGACAATTGTGTCTTGCAGTAACTTTCTTCAGGCACATACACATATACCTGTATTGTAGATGACACATTGCATTCGCCTTCTCTGTATAATGAAGAAGTCTCAGAATCATTGCTTTTTGTTTTGTTTCTTTTGGCTCTCCAGAACCACACCCATCTCACTGTGAAGCATTTCATAGGTATGATGGAGTTCTTTGTACCGAAGAAAAGTGAGTACAAAAGTCGATCATACTCTTCCCTGTAATATTTACCTCTTACTTGTACCATATTATTATGATAGCGGTGTCTTTGTATTTTAAATTCAACCCAAAAAATATTTTTAAAACCCCAAAACCTAAAGAAAATCAATTTTTTGTCTGCTCTAGTTTTATCTATTGTCTAATGTCATCTGTTGCTTTTGAATGGATGGTACTGCTCTTTTTGTACCCATTTGTTGTTTTTTTTGCGAATTGGCTTGATTTGATTAAGATTTCTTTAACAGCAGTGGAAGTATCCAACACAAAATCTTCTTTAACACTTACCGTACCGTCGGCGACTTCAGTCGCCAGGCCGTAATATGCGCTCACTACCGCAGGCGACTAGTCGCCAACACAACCAGGCACACTAAACATTGTCAAACAATGAATGTGAGTAAATACCAAAGGAAGTCACTCTATATGATAGCTGAATGGTTGATGAACCTCTCTGAATTTTTAAAGTGTGTTTTTTTTGGGCTGCCAGGGTTTTTCTAATTTAAAAAAATTCTACCATGGCTTCAGCGTTCTAAACTGGTGCGGTACCCAAGGGTTTTTCACTATATGAGCCTTCGGTACTGAAAGTGTTAAAAAAAAAAAAAAGAAAAGAATTACTCACTGTTGTTACCAAGCTCAGGTTATCTAAAAAAAAATAATCCTGTATTATATTGTTACAAAGATAAGGTTATCTTGTGTTTAGCAATATCTAGGTGCAGTTTTCATTTCTTTCCAGATTGACTAAGATTCGGATGTTTCAGGTGCAGTGATGGTTTTGTTTTTAATTTGCATGGTGTGGTGAAGAAGATAACTCGTAGAAGAATGTCCCCTTTTAGTTTCACTACACTTCTCTTTGCAAGGTCTTGCTCTATTTGACCCATCTTTCTTTCCTTCCATGAAAAGGGCATCATGCCATCAAGACAACTGAAACATTTTTTGACTTAAAAGTTGAATTTCTGTGCATTTGTGTGTATGTGTGATTTTCATGAATAATTTTGTGAAGACCCCCTCGTTTTATTTTTGCTGTGTTTTTTTATTGAGGCGTATCTGGCGTGTTTTTAATTTCTTTGTTCATAATTTTGCACTTCGAGAACTCAATTTACTTTTGAGTTTTCAGTTTTGTTTGCGTTGGTTGATATCTTCAGACATTGGCGGACAAGCTGTATTATTGTTTGTTTTCGTACATCAAAAGTTTACTGTCTCTAATTTTGCTCCCATCAAGATCCAAGGGATTGTAGTCTTGTGGATCATTCCGCTCTTTGATGTCACCCAATCAGAGCTTACTTCTTGGTATTGAGAAAGAACACTGTGACTGTCTATGTGCTTGCTCTGCAGTTCAAATAGTATTTCGACTGCTTAGTGTAAGACTACACTATAAGCCATCATGAAAAGTAATATAGGATGGAGTCTTAGACTGAGCAGTCGATTTCTTTTCCTTAGGAAAATAAAGTGTTCAAGTCACAGCTTATTTTTGCATTACTTCAAGATATGTTTTTCTGAACGCATTTACCTCACAAATAGCTAGTTCACGTTGGTATTTCAGTAAATGCTTCCCGTTCTTTTACTTTCTCTCTGAACGCAGATGAGTTTTTCACCTTGATGTGGTTTGTTCCCCCTGTTTCTTTTTCCTTTTCTCTTTCCCCCCACTGTTCCTCTTTGCTTCCTACAAGTCTTGTGTGTCAGTAACTACAGTTTTATTAATTCCCCCCGCCCCCCCAAAAAAAATAAAAATAAAAGCTAACAAAAAATACTAACAAAGACCCCATCATTTCTCCCCTACATAAGTTGTAAAAATGTAAAAAAAAAAAATTCCAGACCAATTTAAAACAACTAATAGTTGTAATGAGGAGCATATGAACCAACTAAATGCGAGCTGCGAGAAATATAACATGAAGATGTGTATTAGCAAGACCGAAGTCATGACAATTAGCAGGAGACCAGACAAAGTGGATATCAATATCAATGGATCCCAACTAAAATAAAGCAGCAAATTCAAATACTTGGGCAGCATTTTCACAGAAAATGGAAAATTAGATAGAGAAATAGAGACTAGATGCCAGAGAGCCAACGCAGTCAGCTACCAACTGGGCCCTCTCCTGAAACATCCCAATATCCCCATGAGCACCAAGGCGAAGCTCATCAACCCCATTTTCCTACCAACACTCACATATCAGTGCCAGACATGGACTCTAACAAAAGCCCTAGAGAGGAAACTGGTCACATGCGAGATGGAATGCTTAAGAAGAGCGGTTAACAAAACAAGAAGAGACAAAAGAAAAAATGAATTCATAAGAGACACCGTAGGAGCAACACCAGTCCTACCACACATTGAAAAACAAAAGATCAAGTGGTTCAGACACCTCATGCGGATGCCCTCAAACCATCCAGCTCTGAGAGCGTACAACATTAAATAATCTGGCTGGAGATCCAGAGGAAGACCAAGGCGACGATGGAGTGAATCTGTGGCAGACACCCTCAGAGCTCACGGGATGTCCCTCCTACTGGCCACTCGCTTGCTGGAGACAGACGCCTGTGTCTCCCTGCGACACCCACCAATACAAGTGGAAGAAAAAAGTGAAGTAAAGTAATAGTTGTGCTGAGTGGCAGGCCGAGGCCAAGTGATTGTTTGATAAATCTTCCTGTATATAACAGTCAATAGTTGAACTGCCCTAACGGCTACTTGTGTGAGACAACATTCCCATTTTCCCCTTCCCCATTTGCTTTTCTTTTTTTGCATAATAATGACTCTGTTCAGGAGGACTATCTGTCCCTATCTAAGATGACCACTAAAGAAGATGGTAAGGGGTCGTTTTTACTGGTGATTGTCTTGGACAGGTGTCATTAGAGCAGATTCAACTATATATATATATATGTGAGTGTGTGTGTGAGGCATTGTGGTGAAATCAGGCGCTTGTTAAAATAATAAAGTCGAAGATATCTGCATTTTTCCGCTGGTGTTTAATTTTTATCTTATTTTTTTATTTTTTTTCACTCAACACCTTTTATGTCCATTTAAAAACACATTTTTTGTGAGTATTTTTATTGAAAAACATTGATCAAAAGCACAAAGAAATGTACATTTGCTGTTTCCTAGGTCTCTCACATTTTGGAAGTCGCCAAACTTCGGCAGCCATTTTCTGGCTAATTGTACCTCTGCTACCATGCGACTCCATCTCCTTTAAGTTCAAATAGCTTGACTTATATTAAAGATAGATGGGTAATTCTTTCATCATTACTGAGGCAAATTTATAAGCTATAAGATAATATAAAAAACTCCATATGCTTAAAAATTCGCGAGCGCCTGATTCCACTGCGATATAACTCATATATACACAATATATTAATTCAGACTATTAAGACTATTACCCTGTGTTTCCATTCTTTCCTGAATCTGCTCATCAGCGAGAAGAGAATACTACCTCATGTTCAAGTTCCTCAACACTAGTCAGACAGGCTTGTTGAGCCTAGACGAATTCTTCAATGTCTATGATGTGGTGCAGATCAAATGGAAGGTATGGAGCAATCTAAGCTGAAAAAAAGAAAGAAAAGATGGGTTTATTTGGCTGTGAGGGGCATTTTTATTTGAACTGGCCTATTATCTTCCAAGTTGATCAACTGCTTTTGCCATAATGGAAACTTCTGAAGTATTGAGGGGAAGGCATGTATGTGTGTGTTTGAGAGAGAGACAGTGTGTGTATGTGTGTTAATGAGAGTGCAGGAGAGGGGGAGGGTGGAGAGAGAGGAGAAATTTGCATGTTTTGCAGAGACATTTAACATACATGAATCATGTGATGTTATTATCTTTGTTTTAAGCTTTTTTCTTTCTTTTCTAGATGTTTCCTTGTATAAAAAATTCTTTTGTTACATGGAATGTTCATATTTTCCTTGTTGTGTGGACTATTAAAAAAGCACTGATCTTGTCTCTATCTATTGTACAGTTGAAGAGTGATTCCAACTTATGGTCATCAAGTTTCAAGCATCCTTGTAACAGAATATTCAGAGGTAAGGTTTCAAGTTCAATAGCTTTATCTCCTACTTGATACATTTTTCTGTGAGAGAGAGAGAGAGAGAGAGAGAGAGAGAGAGAGAGAGAGAGAGAGAGAGAGAGGGAGGGAGGGAGGGAGGGAGGGAGGGAGGGAGGGAGGGAGTTGCATCTTTATAAAATGTCTGAGTTTGAATGTACTCATATCAGAGGACTTTAGGCCACACTTTGGATGGGTCTAGTGCAAGTAAACTTTGTGATCGTGTAACTAGAAGAAGCATGTCAACTTTTTTTTGTTCTACAAGCATTGCCAAGGCTGATCTATGGGTCATCAATTAAAATCAACGTAAATGTACTTAAAAGGGTATAAGAGCCTTGAAGGCCAATTTGTTGGCTATTCTCATCATTCAAACCTGAATTTTTCTCTTGCTATTTGAAAATTTTTCAAGAAACCAGTTATATAAGAGAGAATATTTTACGGAGCGGTGTTTTTTTCAGCTTGTACATCATGTATTTACTCATTCCTGTCTTGTTGTGCTTATGCGTGAGTGCTCCTAACCTTTGTGACATCCACTGCCATTGTAAATGACCAAGACGGATTTCTCCCTGTGAGAAAAATAAAGATTGTCATTGTCTTAACAAAATTTTTTTCAAGAAAATTAATCAGTTATTTATTTTTCAAATTTTTTTCACACAGGTCTTCACTGGTTTGCAACTTGGTGCTACTTTGACTACTGTATATGTAAGCCTTAACTAGCTTTTACAGTTTTGATATCTTCTTTCTTTAACTCTTTATCTCCGGCAAGCCGCTCCTTGCGGCTCGCGGTCGGAACCACTGTGCCGGTGAGCCACTAAGGCACACATTCCTTTATGATGAAATCGAAATCAAATTACTTTTGGGCAGTTGCCGAAAACAGGTCTCTTATATCGGGATTTCATTCATCAGATGAAGAACAATCAAAATAGGTTTACTTTTGATTTAATGACCAATTTAGTGACATTTTTGTATTTTTTAGATTTAGTAGAAAAAGGGCCAGGGCTTAGTGGGTTTACCCCCCTCGGAGATAAAGAGTTAAGCATGTAACTAGAATTGAAGGCAAATGAGGCAGAAATAGGCTTATTGTAACCTACTTAGAGAACCTAAACAGATGGGTGACAGGGAAAGAACAGGGTAATGTAGTTGGTTTTTTTGGAGCACCGGAGCAAAAAAATGAATGGAGAATCATGATCGCCTATGTTTGTTACAGACCTGGCACTTGATGATGGTATAACTTATATCAGCCAGGGCTTCACTCACGGTTCTTTATCAATTTGGTTATGACCACTGAGACAACATTCACAAAATATGGGCAATTATTTTTCATCTGTTCAAGACTAAATCATTGCTGCATTTATTTATTAGATTGTTTGAAGCAAATTTTGCTGTAGCTTACTGCTTATGAGCAGGCGGGTGGTGGTCCCAATTTTTTTCTTTCTCTCTGTTGTTTCTGTCTGTTTGTCCGTCTTATTCTTCCCTTGGAGCTTAAAGACTGTAATTGTGTCAACGAGCTTCTATTTACTTAAACAAACAAGCTCTTGAGTATCTATAATTTACCTTTTAGAGTTTTTCTTTAATCCAGAAAAGTGAGAATAGTTTTAGATGATGCTCTTTGAATGTAGTTCTATTTTGCATTTGACAAAGATAATTTTGAAAGAGTAAATGATGATGATACTTTGTTCAGCTTAGTTTCTGTTGAGCTTAATATTTTGTAAAGAAAAACTGAATTTTTTTAAAGTTTAGAAGATTGCAATGTTTCAAGAAACAGTACATCTCTGACTTTCACTTTTTTTTCAGACATTGTTATTTTTGGAAATTTCCTGTGGATTCTCATAGAAACAATCCGCATCTCAAGTGAGTATTGGAAATTAATTCCCATTATTTGACCCAATATGTAAACTGAAGCTGGAAGAATCATCATATAATTATTCTGAGTATGGAAGTCTGTTTTTGTGTCAGAAAACAAGATACATATGAGGTGTACAATCAAAGAAAGGAGATACAGGCAAAAAATCGACACATGGGTCACATTTGTAGATTCAAAACCAATGCCATTCTCTTCAAGTTTTATGTGTCTTTGATCATTTCACAGTGATGAATTGTGAAAACTCAGCCTGTAAATTTGCAGCATCTATTTCTTTCGGGCTAAAATCCGAGAAGTAACTCATTTTGTCAGCACGCTTCACATATGTATTCTTTTTTTATTTATAGTTTTTGTTTCTTATGAACTTGTTGATGCTGAAGAAAAGTTATAAACCTTCAAGAGCAGATTTGCAAATTATAATGAGAATAATGCCTATTTATATGTCAGTTAGTTGGATATTTACTATACATTGTAGACAGAATTGTTGTTGCTAGATTGGAAAAGCAAACTGAATTGTTGCGGGTCTGTTTAGAATAGTTTGAATTCATTGATTGCAGAAATGGGTTTGGAGGGGGGGGGGGTTGCTTGGCCAGTACCCACCATTTTGACCTGCTGCCTGGGTAGTCTATATTTTGGTTTTGAAAAGTTAGCAGCTGTGTATTAAATCTGACAAATTGCTACCATTGAATTATAAAGTTCTATGTGACATTTTTTGACAGTTTTGAGTTACTAAGACCATGAAATCTGAAACCCAATGTTCTATCTGCTCTATCAAAATCGCAAGGTTTTGAAAAAGCTTGACATTTAATTTTGTTAACTTCAAGATTTTTAACGTCAAATTTCTCAAAAGTAGGTATGGAGCAGATAGAACTTTGTAATTCTAGGATTTCGAAATGTATGCACGTTCAGTTAGCTAAAATTGTCTGTACTCCTCTACACACCCACACACCCACCTGTCCATACACACACACACATACTCACACTGGCGCGCACACACACACACACACACACACACACACACACACACACAGTGGGTGGTTGGCAGGTGCTCTGGTGTGGTTTGCTCCTTCTTTCCTATCAAACATCTATCATCTTTGTCTCCCCTCCCTCTATTTTGTGTTTGTTACTATCTTGTAACACCTCTAATCTTGGGCATTCTTATGACCTTATTGTGTTGCAATTGCTGTAAAACTCTTATGAACCCCCCCCCCCCGCCAAACCTCCCCCCCCCCCCACACACAAACACAGATGGCGCAAACATACTTGTCATTACCCTAGTGTTTGTATTCTTCCTGTCTGTCTCTTGCTCTCTGCATTTTTAAAATTAACCCCTTATTCTTGCAACATGTGCGTCTACATATTTTTCAAATAGTGCGGAGTGGGAGAATTGAGGAACGGGGGTGGTAAACTTTTGTTGAAGGCATCAGCAATTAACACATTGAGCCTGTGTTCTGGATTCGAGTTCTTATTTTGTTCCTATGTACTCGTGCTTGTGAAATATTTTTGTTGGTGGTTGACGGGTTCTCTGGTGTTGTTTGCTCCTTCTTTCCTATGAAATGTCTATCGTCATTTTCTCTTCTCCTTTTTTGTCTTTGTTACTCGCTTGTAACACCTCTAATCTTCAGCACTTATATGACCTTATTGTGTTGGAAGTGCTGTAAAATTCTTACTTAAACTAAAATAAATGTGATTTTTCAAATATTCTTTTCTATTTAGATGAAGCTGTGAGTGTGGCAAACTACAACTTCACAGCTAGCTGGATCTCCATTGTTTTTGTTTGTAGTAAGTTTTTTTAAAGTTTATGATTTACTTTAATGCTTTAAAATGGAATTAAAAACTAGCCTGTGTCTTTTTTTTTTTTTTTTTGACTGAAAGCAAATGTGTTATTAAATTACAGTCAGTGTAATAGTCTTTGTGAAAAGAACAATACATTTTATTTAACTTTCCTCCCACAAACAAGTCGTGAATCAACAGCAAGTTCATTTAGATTGTGTCACTCCCGAAGAGAATCAAGTTTCAACCCTTAAAACTGTTTACCGCACTTTATAGTTTAATTCCCAGAGATGTAACTCCAGATGACTATTTCATGAGCAGAAAGTATCGATAATATCATAAGAGCAGATCTACAACTAAAGTTTGGAATTTTTACTATTTTTTTTTTCTTAATGAGTGACTTTCCTCAAAACTCTCCTGCTAAAACCAGCATTTGTGGTGTGGCGTTTTGGCACTTTGCTGTCACACACAGGAAACCTGAGTTCAATTCCTGAGACGGAAGAACCTTTATATCAAGTATCTTTTTGCTGGCATGTTGTGTCTCACTCAGTCCAGATTGGGGAGGGGGGGGGGGTCGGAATCCTGATTACTCTACGATCTAAATTGTGTCAATCGGGGTGTAAACACACTTACATCAATAAATTTCTTTAATCTCCTGCTATTAAGCAGTGAACCCTACTGGGGTGGGGGTTGTAATGAAAGTTTGTACAAAGGCATTTGATCTTCATGCTTTGAATAAATGGAGTGATTGATTGCTATATTGACGTGTGTTTTCAGTTTACTGTTTAGAGGCCATAATCAAGATTCTCGGCAGAGGCCCTCAGGATTACTTCACCAAGGGATGGGACGTGTAAGTCGAGTTTTATGTGATTACCTTTCTGTTTCTATATCGTTGGCCTCATTTTAAAATGCACTTTGCCCACAATTGTAAACATTCTTTTATTGCAGTTTCTGTACCAGCTGCATATGCTAAAAAATATTGTCAAAATTCAGATTCTAGATGTTGAAAAAAAAAAAGCAAGAAAAAATACATAATGTAGGTACAATTGTTAAAAGTATGATGCAGTTTTTACTCTAACCTGTAAGATTTTGCTTTTTGGGATGAGTACATTTTAACAGCTAGCTGATGATATGGTACATTCACTAAAATGAAAGAATAAACTGTTGCCTATAGGTGGATGGCAGTTACTCTGGTGTGGTTTGCTCTTTCTTTCCAATCAAACACATTGAGCCTATGTTCTGGTTTCGAGTTCTTATTTCGTTCCTATGTACTCATAGATGTCTAGTGTTTTTGTGGGTGGTTGGTGGGTGCTCTGATGTGGTTTGCTCCTTCTTCCCTGTCAGCTCCTCTATTGTCCTTTTCTCCCCTCCTTCTTTTTTGTGTTCGTTACTCTTTTATAACACCTCTAATCTTCAGCACTTACATGACCTCATTGTGTCGCAAGTGCTGTAAAACTCTTACTAAAACTTTTTAAAAACCCTTGTGTCTGTTCCTCTGGTTATTTTGTTAATGTTTTTCCCCGGAACTGTTATATTTGAGCTGTCTGAGTAATGAACTTACTAATGGTGCTGATTTATGTACTTTGTCCTCTTACCCTGGATGTGGGCAAATTTGATGAGATATCTTTTTCCCACAATCATCTGATTTGTTGTTGGTCTATTTTTTCCGTGTAATCTTTATTTTTGTCCAGCACCTCACTCATTTCCAAATTTCTTTTGCGTATTCAAATGTTGAAACATCTATGGGTGGTTTGCTCCTTCTTTCCTATCAAGCATCTGTTGTTCTTATCTCTCTTGCTTTTTTGTGTCTTTAGGCCATTGCCAAAGGGAGAATATTAACATGTTCTTATGCACAGCAGAATTGTAAATGGGCTGATTTATCAATGTCACGCTCATACTTTGTTGGAACAATATAGGGGGAACTGCTGCTTTTTCTTTCCTCATCCTTATTATTGTCATTTTCCTCAACTTCTTTTTTGTGTTTGTCACTCTCTTGTGAACTGCTATTTCCGGGGGTGAATTGATAGTCAAAGCAGACTGTGTGCTGTTGAGACTAGAGAGGTGAGCAGAGTAAGCCTGATTCCCCGTTTGGACTTCTCTGTTGACATCTACCCTTGGGCACTCATATGACCTTATGCAGTTGCGGGGGCCGTAAAAAACTAAACTAAAACTATACCTTATTTGTGTTTGACACTCTCTTTTAGCTCGTCTAATCTTATTGTGTTGCAAGTGCAGTAAAACATTTATTTTTAAAAGCGAAACGTTTATTCCTCAGATTTGACTTTCTGGTGACTATCGTGAGTGTGGTGGGTGTGTTTGGCGAGGTGTTTGAAGACTCCTTCTACTATGTCATGGTGCTCAGGCCTTTCAGGCTGCTCAGGTGAGTTCTTTATGCAGGTGTGCTTTGTTACAGGGTCCTCCGGATAGACATATGATTGGAGGGTGCCGCCGGTCAGTCCGGCTTCTCCTTTTTATTATTATGTAGTTTGTTAATGGTTTTTAAGTTTTATTTTTTGTTGTGTCTTTGGCCCAATATTTAGGCTTTTGGACTTGCACCCATAAGGTTGCGAGTTCGAATCCAGGCAGGGCCTGATGTTGTGTAATTGGGAAAGATACTTTACACAAATTTTCCTCACTCTACCTAGGTGAGAATGGGTACGCAACAACTATGAACAGTGAAAGATCTTGTCGGTATGTTAGTGTTTGAGCGTTTAATCTTGCACTGTATGCTTTCAGGGAAGCCGAGAATGTTTCTGAGTGTTCTTAGGTCTGCTGCAGAAATAGTATAGGTTGTAAAGTGCACTTAGCTTGCTGTAGAGCAGGGATATGCACTATACAAATGCTATTTATTTTATTGTTATTTTGCTTTCCCAGTCTCAGAAGAAAAGGAAAGGGAATTGTAAGCCATGTATTTTGTAACTTGTTAACTTTTAAGTGATTTTATATTTTATGAATGTCAATTTCTTTTTTATTTCAGGCTTTTCAAAATAAAGGAGAGATACAGGGATGTCCTGGGAACATTGTTTGTTCTCTTTGCAAAACTCTTCAGGTACTGTCAGCGCTTCTTAAACTATGTGTGTATTGTGTATAACATGTCAGCAACATGGTATTTGTTTTGAGTCATTGCTGTGAAAAAGTTGCAGCTAACTATTTTGTTTAATGATTTCAGTGTCAAGCAGTCTGGGTCTTAGATGGTCGTCTTATTTCTGTTTCATATGGAAATTACAAGAAATTATAGAGCTTTTAAAATGTTGTCTTTTCTTTCTATGAAGAGCCTGCTTCCCACCCAAGTTTAAGAATACCGTTTTTTGGGGGGTGGGGTCTCGGGTTTTGGTTTGGGTTCTTTTCAACCTGGCACCATGGATAACTTTGTGGGTGTCATGGATAACACCTAATCATTAGTTGTGTTGACTAATCTCTCGTAAAATTTACACTTTCAGTTTTATCTGCTCGTAAATTGAAGCTTTTCTCAAAAATGTAATTATAGAACAGATGTGAATGACAATAAAAGATATCGAATGCTTATTGAAAGACTCTATCAGACATCATATTGAAAGGTTATGCTGGTAGAGTCTTACACTGAGTGAGCAGTCAATATGTTCTTATGTTCTATGTAGGTGACTCATCCCTTTCAGTTCTGTAGTCTGCTTGGTTACAAAATGACCTTCACATATCACAATGTTATACATCAGGGGAAATGAAGATGGAAAACACTTGTGTGAGACTTATAAGATCCAACACAAGGACATGAAAGTTAAAGATTATCCTCTTTTTGTTTTTCAGTCTTGCCATCTGCATCATCATTGTCTTCTACTTCTACGCCATAGTTGGCATGGAGGTTTTCTTCCATTACGACTTGACAGACTGTTGCAAGTAAGTTGTGCCGTCAGCTTTTGAATCTATCTTAGCTCTTTCAGAATTTTATTGCTTATCTTCCGAAGTGAGAAAATGGGGCCCCATTTATAGGTCCACAAAGTCTACTGCCTAGCGGCCTGGGAAAATGATGGGGAAAATGTACTGATCAAAATCAAAGTCAATGCTCAGAGCAATCAAGTCCTGGTCTCAGTTGTTGTTTTTTTTAAGAATGAACAGAGTGGATCCGTTTTTTTCATATCTTTGCTTTCAAAATCGGACTTCACCAAAAAAAAAGTTTCCGAAAGAATGTCTTAAAAAGTACATTAAATTGAATATATTTGTTTTCCCTGCTCTCTCTCTCTCTCTTTGTTGTGCAAATGCGTGAAAATGTTTTATTTTACCTTTTGAAAGTTCCCTTTTATTTTGGCAATGTTGATTCTGTCCTCTAGAAACTCCAGTGTGGAAGACTACTACGCCTTCAAGAATGGCACTGTCCGCACTGGGTATTACTATTTGAACAACTTCGATAACCTTTTCCAGTCTGGAGGTAAGAGTGACAAGGGAATTTTGTGTATGTAGCTGTCTATTTGATAATGTGTGTCTGTTTGATCATAATGATGATGATAATAATGATACTACGACTAATTAAAAAAGATTTCATTTATATAGCGCTTTATTCTATTCAAATGCAAGTATAAGCTCTGAGCACTTTACATTAATGATAATATGATTACTGAGATTAAAACCTCATATGCACAAGAAAACCTGTTCAACCTCAAAAGGAACAACTTTCTCAGCCATGCATGAATTGTGTATACACACAAGGACAGCAGTAAAAACAAGACACATCAGCACCTGCTAACACACTCCATCTAAGACTCCTGTTATTATTAGTATGTTTTCTGATGTTATCAGACTTTCATTTTGTTTTCTTTATGTTTTCTGATGTTCTTCAGTATATTTCTTGATGTTAGTGTCTGGTAGATGGATGCTATGGCATATCGAACATCTACTGTCCTTATCTGCCCACCTTCTTTTTTGTGAATGTTACTCTTTTGAAACCTTTCTAATCTTTGGGTGGGATTTGCTCCTTCTTTCCTACCAAACATCTATCGTCCTGACCTCTCCTCCTTCTTTTTTGTGTTTGTTACTCTCTTGTAGAACCTTTTATCTTCGGCACTTATATGACCTAATTGTGTTACATGTACCATTAAAGTTTAACTAAAACTAAAGCACTCTTCCTGTTGATATCATCATGTTTCCTATAGTGGTTGGGTTCTACTCTACCTTTGAAAAGTATGTTGTTGCTATTGATCATTCTCTTTATAAGCTGGTTTCTTAAGATTTATGCATGCTAGGTAGATATAAAAAAAAACCAACCCATAAACAAAGATAACATGTGAGGCATCGTGGTGAAATCGGGCACTCGTCAAAATAACAAAATTGGAGAAACCAGTTTCGCAATTTTAACTCTTTAACCATGTCTGGATGGTGGGAGCGCCTGGTAGTCGAGGTCCGTAACCATGGCTGGACGGTACTACTCTCCAATGAGAAGGTATTATTGTATTATGGTACAGGCCGAATATTAAAAAAGTAGGAGCGAACAATCATTTAGTTTGACCCCGAAGTCAAAGATGAATGAATTCTACGTCCAGGCAATACCTTATTGATCAGCTTAACACGAAACAAGTGGCTTTAAAAACGTAATTTGTAGGGTCTCATTTCCTCAAACATGAGAGAAATTTCGCGGAAACCTGATTTTAAATTGCATGGTTAAAGACTTAATCGAATTTTTGGTTTTTTGTTCAACCTTTTTACACCCCCTGGGGCAATGCTACTGACTGAAGTGTCTTTAGGCCATTCCCTAAGGGAGGGGGGGACATTAACATCTCGAGTTCTTATGCACAGTAGAATTGTAATTGTAAATGGGCTGATTCATCAATGTCATGCTCATAACTGTGCCTGGACTGCAACAGGGAACTGCTGCTTTTTCTTTCCTAATCCTTGCTATCATCATTTCCTCTACTTCTTTTGTATGTTTGTCACTTTCTTGTGACCCCCTATTTCCGGGATGCCTTGATAGTCGAAGCAGACTTTATGCTGTTGAAGCTAGAGAGGTGAGCAGAGTAAGCCTGATTCCCCATTCGGAGTTCTCTGTTGACATCTACCCCTTGGCGCTCATATGACCTTATGCAGTTATGAACACCGTAAAACCTCTACTAAAACAAAAAACAACCCTTTTATGTCCAAATAAAAACACATTTCCATGTGAATTATATTGAAAATCGTTGATTAAAAGCTCAAAATGTGTAATTTCTCAGTTTTCAAGGACTGTTTAGCTATTAAAGTTTTCATACTTTGGCGACCATTTTCTGGCTATTTTTACCTCTGAGACCAACCTGAACTTACCTCTTTCTATCACAAATATCTTCACTTCTGCTCTAGATAGATGGATATTTTTTTTCATCAAAAGCGAGATAAATGAACAAGCTTTTAAGATGATACCAATAACTCCACATGCACAAAAATTGATGAGCACCTGATTCCTCCGCATTGTGATACATATGTTGTTGGGGTTTTTTTGGTTCTTAGATCCTTCTCATGCTGATCATAAGAACAAAGACTTCGAAAATTGTGAAATTGTGTAGTTTTAACTCCCCTTTCAAAACTAAATTTATTTTAGAGGCAGGACTTCTGAAGTTAATGTCCATCTTCGATAGAATTGAGCCAAATCTCTCTCTCTCTCTCTCTCTCTCTCTCTCTCTCTCTCTCTCTCTCTCTCTCTCTCTCTCTCTTTTTCTCTCTCTTTTTCTCTCTCCCTCGCTCTTTCTCTCTCTCTCTCTTTCTCTCTCTCTCTCTGTGTCTGTCTCCTGCTAATTTTTATCTTTCTCTTGTAATAAAATGCATACATATAAATAAATAAATATCTAATATAATTCATCCTCAGTGACTCTGTTTGAACTGACCGTGGTCAACAATTGGTTTATCACCATGGTAGGTGTTCTTGGGGCTTTTGCCTTGGCTTTCTAGATTTTTTAAATTTTCCTTCCTCTTTCTCTTTGTGTCTCTCTCACTTTATCTCCCTCTTAATTTTTCACTCTACCTCTCTCCCTTTCTTTCTTTCTTCTTTCTCTTTTCCTTTTTCTCAGTCTTTATCTTTCTTCACACACACACACACACACACACACACACACACACACACACACACACACACACACAAATGCCCCTCTCCCCAACACACACGCACACACTCACACACAAATGATCCCCCACCCCCACATACTTGCATAAATTACACAAGCACTTACACACAAACACACATACGCACACACAAATACTCCTCCAACACCCCCCCTCCCCCACACACACACACACACACACACACACACTCGCGAGACCCACACATGGATGTGCTCGTATCTAAAAATCTCACCCAATGTTTCATCATGTCTCCACAGGAAGGTTTTGCCCTGACCGTTAGCGAATGGACGCGTTTGTTCTTCATGAGCTTCTACATTGTCATGATGGTGAGTTGTGTTGTGTAATCGAATGACACCGTTTATGGTTGCAGGTGCTGTGGTGTTGTTTGCTCTTCTTTCCTATCAAACGTCTATCGTCCTTATCTCTCCCTTTTTTTACTCCTTACTCTCTTGTAACACCTCTAATCTTCAGCACTTAATTTTGTTGCAAGTGCTGTATAATGCTTACTAAAACAAAAGCTACAAAACATCTGATGACAGCCGCCTAAATGCCATATATGCTCATCTAAATTGTTGTTTGTGTTATCGATCCAGCAACAAGTGGGCTTTCCCCTTTCTGTTGAATGCTGTGTAGTGATAAGTGCATTTTTGCTGAAGTTGTTATAATGTTCCATATTTATTGTGTAGTCAATGTTCGGTCCTGGAGAGAGAAGTACACGTCTATAAAACAAATATATTTCTGACTGGTTGCTGGACTACTGTGCAAAGTTACGTGGGCATTGGCGAATTACAAAAATAAGCTAATATTTTTTTTACATGGTCTGACAAAAGTGAACAAACTGTAGTAGGACTCCTGTTGTGTAAATCAATTCAATTTGCAAAAGTATTTTGCTTCCATTTATTCACAATGGAACACCACCACCAACATTCCCCCTCTCAATTGACCACACAGTGTGACCAGTGACTCTTCTTCACAGTGGTTTCATTATCAATCTTTGTTAATCTCCAGGTGGTGATGAACATTGTTGTGGCTTTTGTGCTGGAGTCTTTCATCTTCCGCATCAACTACCGACGTCAAATGCACCTTGACGACATTGATGGTACGATATTCTCAACTTTTTCGTTGAAGATTCATGTATGTAGCTGTATATCTATAGATATTTATGTACGGACCTCTACGAGGTTATACAATACAACATAGCAATGTTTCTTTACCTGAAAAAAACAACTTTGCAGGTTGTTGAAAGGCACTACCTTTATTACTTAGACTCAAATTCAAACCAGAGACTTTCGAAACTAAACCAAACCAGACTTTCCAACCCAAACCAAAGTATAGACTTTCCAAACCAAGCCAAAAACTTTCCAAATTCAATCCAAAGGCTTTGCAAACCACACCAAACCAAAGACTTTCCAAACCGAACCAAAGACTTTCCAAACTGAACCAAACCAAACACTTTTCTAACCAAATCAAACACTTTCCAAACCAAATCAACGATTATCCGTTGTTTTTGTCCCCCCCTCACCCCCCCAGACCACCATGTGGTGAAGGAGGAGATAGCTCTGAATGAGGATGAGGTGCACATGGTCAGTGTTCTCAGTGCCCCCGTCAACGGTCAGTTCATCAACAGCCAGGATGCTAGGGTAAGTGTGTTGTGTAGTCACTTGATCTGTGGAAGGGTTGTGTGTTGTATCTACTGCTGGTGTGCAGGGGGTGTCAAGTGTATGCCCCAAGTCAATGTTGGAGGGAGGTAGAGAGAGAGAGAGAGAGAGACAGTGAGAGAGAGAGAGAGGGAGAGCGAGAGAGAGAGAGAGAAAATGGTGGGGGGTAAGGGTGTGTATGAAAAAGAGAGAGAGAATGAGTTAGAGAGGGAGGGGGGGGGGAGAAAGAGAGGAGAGAGAGAGAGACTGAACTGACTCAACCTTTCATACTCTCCTGAAATAACAGATTTTTGTATACACAGACTTATGATTTTGATGACAGTGGAGAGTGCTGAAAGGCAAACAGTTTGAATTCGGTTACCCTCAGACAAATATGAATGTAGGACATAAATGCATAGTTCATGAACGAACTTCTGAGAATGAGGTGCCCAAATCCTGGAGTTTCTGGTGGGTGGACCTATTGATCAGTGCAGTTTGATTATTGGCCAAGCACAAATGCTCTTTCAGACTTTTCCGAAGTGGTAAATGTTCAGACTTACTTGAAGTGATGAATGTTCTGATTTATATAAAGGGATCAATGTTCTGATTTTCCTGAAGTGAATGTTCTAACTTACCCCCCCCCCCAAAAAAAACAACCAAAAAACAATGAATCTGCTGACTTACGCAAAGCAATCAATGTTCTGGTTTACACAAAGCAATCCATTTTCTGTTGGGTTTTTTTCATAAACCAATCTTTGTTCTGATTTACATGAATCGATCTATATTCTGGTTTTCACAAAGCGATCAATGTTTAGACTTATTTGTGGTGATCAATGTTCTGACTTGCACAAGTGGGTGGTTGGCGGGTGCTCTGGTGTGGCTTGCTTCTTCTTTCCTATCAAACATCTATCGTCCTTATCTCCCCTTCATCTTTTTTGTGTTTGTTACTCTCCTGTAACAGCTCTAATCTTATGCAGTTGCAAGCACCGTAAAACCTCTACTAAAACTTTTTTAAAAACAAGTGGGTGGTTGGCAGGTGTTCTTGTGTGGTTTGCTCCTTCTTTCCTATCAAACATCTATCGTCTTTATCTCCTCTTTATTTTTTGTGTTTGTTACTCCCTTGTAACACCTCTAATCTTCGGCACTTTTATGCCCTTATTGTGTTGCGAGTGCCGTAAAACTCTTACTGTAAAAAAATAAATAGATAAAATGACTTACAAAAAACAATCAAAGCTCTGACCTACACAAAGGTATCGGTTAGATGTGGCACCATTTTTTACGTGACTGATTACCTCAGTTTGGATAGATTCTAACATTTGTGTACTTTCACCTTCTACTTTTATTCTGTTTTTCATATTTTGCATCTTATTCATTTCCCCAGGAGGTGCAAGTTTACATAGGAGAGCGTACTCGAAGTCGAGAGGATTTCAGCTTACGCATGTACCATGATGAAGTGGAGGTAACAATTGATGAACTTTCTGTCTTTCTTTCTCTCTTTTTCTTTCTCTTTTTTTTTTTTTTCGCTTTCTCTGTCTCTCTATCTCGGTCTCTCTCTGTCTGTCTGTCTGTCTGTCTGTCTGTCTGTCTGTCTCTCTCTCTCTCTCTCTCTCTCTCACAATTGCACGCATACACTCACACACGCACACACACACAACTTTGAGCAGTCTCAGTTAAGAAATAATAACTGTATTTTCGTCCTCATTTGGTTTTATTTCAGAGTATATATTTTTTTTTTCTTCTTGTCGTACCTCTATCTTTAAAACAGTCTTTAATCTTTCTTTTTTGTCCTTTTTTTTTTTCATAGCAATGGATGAGAGAATTCCAAGAGCAAAGACAGGAGATTGTGAGTACGTTGGAACGCATGCGCTCACGTACCCGCGGAAGACCAAACTCTGAGACAAACATGCAGGAAGTGATCTTCTTGCCATCCACGGAGTCGTACAGTTCTACTCTGACTTCCTCCGTTTCCTAGCAGATTCACAAAACGTATAATGCGTTGTGTGATAATCAAGGTTACTGGTCTCAATTCCCATTCACCGCTACCAAATTCGGCATCATTTTTGTAATGGACCATTTATGTGTTAAGTTCTCATGTGTCTGAAGGTGGCATCAGTAGCCTAGTAGTAAGTAACATATACACCATATTTATGTGTCTGAAATTCTGTTGTATTCAAATTGTTGTTTTGTGCACTGTGAATCTTTTGGCCTCCCGGTGTTCTCAATCCCAAGGTACCAACCTGGAAATAATTCCTCTAAACATAGATTCTCTGTACTTTTTCCCCCTTTAGGTTGGTGTGAGAATGAAGTAATTCATATGTTGTTCTGAGGGAGTTTTTTGCATTATGTAATCAAGATTTTCTTGCTTTCAGCCTTGTGTCTCATCTTTTGAGTGTGGTCCACACACTACCCCACATCTACTACAGTTTTGAGTTGGGATCTTCCACTACAAGTGATCGTATAATTATGCTCAGTTGTAAGTTTGGATGAAAGGTTTGTTTTCAGTTATCGTGTTAAGAAAGTGAGATTTTTTTTCTCCAATTTTCCTGCTATTAGGCCCCTTCCTGCTCTCATTCTTCGCCAACCGTGGCCGCCCATTTCTTCAACTTTTCAGGCATTTAACGGCCTCCTGGTGTTCACATTCTTTTTGGGCACAATTGGAATGAAAAGAAATTTGGACTGCTTATGTTGACCTTGACCCACTTTCCTTCATGGGAATGTAAAGCAAGGCTACAGCTTAATGCCTGTGTTCTGTTTAATCATAGTATATGTTGCCATTGAGGAAATCTTGTGGAAGAAACAAGGGGTATGGTCGGACAGTTACCAAATGTTGACTCTCAGGCTGTAGTATTTTTACAGTCCAGTTTTGGCCGAGATAAACAGAAAAAAGTTAAAGGATCGGTTACTGAATGGTTACTTATTTATTATTTTATTTTTTAGCATAAAGTTAAAGACAGACATGCAGAAACCACAGAGGAGAATTTATAATTAAGCACCTATCAGTGGCACCCTGCAAGCCCCTGCCTGAATGTTGGAAATTTGATACAATTCATGGACTAGAGAGACACAGCCCTCACTAGCAACAACTGTGTGTTATACTTGCACTCTATACGCAGTTGCAGTTATGTCATTGGCTGGTTTCATGGATTTTTTCTTCTGCTTGGATTTTGCCATGTTCACACAAAGTCACAGTAAGCCAAGTTATTGAATTAATAGATTTGTTCTTTGCAAGCGTAAGTTTATGACCACAATGAATGTTTATGTTGCTCATTGCACTTTTTTCATCAAGTCTCAACAAACAATCTTTTAATATTGTGTATTTAATGTCTTCCATTCTTTCTGCCCTTTGAGCTCCCTCAGTAACCAAAGGATTTAGTCTCTCAGGTGCTCGTTCTTGGAGAAAACAACACAATACTTTGTCATTTCTTTGTTGGGGTTGTTTTTTTTATCGCCATCTCCAAATTGTTGATATGTGATATATTGCTGAGTGCACAGAATATGTTTAGAAAGGTGTTTGCCTAATTTTTACTCTTATTAACTGTGGATGACTAAGAACTAAAAAATGTTGAAAAAGGGCTAGTAGTATCTGAACTCACTCAATGCCTGCACACCTCTTAGGGTTGTGTTGCTTTGTATATAATACTCTTGAATTTACTGTTGTCTCTAAATATCACTGATAATATCAACATCTTTGTCGTGAACATTTTCTTCACTGAGGAAACCATTCATATCAGACTTAGTAGAGCCAAAGACAGAAAAAACATTGAATTAATATACATATGTCATAACTGTCCATGGAAGGAGTTTTCTTACCAATTTGCTTCAAACCATAATATTGACTGCTTAGTGCAAGACTCCACCACACCCTATCATTTTGTCAATTGACGAGTTGCTAGTTGACAGGTGCTCTGGTGTGGTTTGCTTCTTCTTTCTTACCAAACGTCTATCGTCTTTATCTCCCCTCCTTTTTTTTGTGCTTGTTACACTCTTATAACACCTTTAATCTTAGGCACTTATTCGACCTTATTGTGTTGCAAGTGCCATAAAACACTTACTAAAACAATAAAATGAAAAGTGATGTATGAAAGAGTCTTACACTGAGCGGTCAATATACAAAGACCTGTTTTTGCTTACATAGACGCAGTAAATCAGCACTGAATGAAAGGGGGACTTAACCATAACTTTAAAGTAGTGACCTTACCTGTGACTCCAGGTTGTCATCATATGGATAGTCATCTATAGGATGGTTAGTGGATGTGTCATGAATCTGAATATTTCTTCTTCTTAGCTTTTCCGCTTGTTGCATGTTGCTTCTCATACATTATTGCAAGAAATCACTTGCCGTTTCTGAAAACTATGTTGTGTTATTGTGCCATCTATTTCTTTGGGTTTTTTTACGTAATCAGAGGTGTGCTTTTAACATTTCTTATTTAATGTTTGTTTATTCTCAGCATGGGTTGGTTTGTTGTTTTTTTTGGGGAGGGGGGTTGTTTTTGGTTTTTTGTTACTCTGGTGTGTTCACACTTTCTAATTTTGTTGCTCTTCTTTTTCTTTGAGTAATGCAAAAGCAATGGAGTATGAAAAATTCTGATTCCAGCTTGCAATTGCCAAAAGGCTGGAGAATTACGTGTTGATATAGTGGACACTACGCAAGAGTGTTTGCTTTTCTCCAAACTCATGACAGTCATGCACATTAGTCGTGCATATGTTGTCCTTATTGAAAACACACTCACAGAAAACACTCACATATGTGTGTGTGTGTATGTGTGCTTGTTAAAATGTCAATCATGCTTCACTTAGATGTAGTATCACACTTTGTAGTGTTTTCATTTTAGGAAATATATGCTTTAGTTTTTGTATTTACGAGTGTGCGGTTTCGAAGTTATTAAAATTTGTTTCATCATTGTGTAGTTCAGAGGATAAGAATGACAGATTCAAGAGAAATATGTTATCACTAGAGCTTTTTACATATGTGTCATCACGCAGTGGAATCATTTTCGATCTGCACAGTACATATTCTTTGTTAGGTGTGCTGACTAATTGAGTTGCTTCTGTAGAATTGTAAATGGGCTGATTTATCAATGTCATGCTCAATACTGTAGGGGAACAACACGGGGGAACTGCTGCTTTTTCGTGCCTCTTCTTCACTATCATCATTTTCTCTACTTGTTTTGTATGTTTGTCACTCTCTTGTGAACTGCTATTTCCGGGGTGCCTTGATAGTCAAAGCAGACTTTGTGCTGTTGAGGCTAGAGAGGTGAGCAGAGTAAACCTGATTCCCCATTTGGACTTCTCTGTTGACATCCACCCCTTGGCGCTCATTTGACCTTTTGCAGTTCCGACGTAAAACCTCACTAAAAATAAAAACTAAGTAGCTTCTCCCTATCCGCAAATGAAGAATTCAGCAAAATTTGGGTTGAATTTGTAGATTTTCAATCGATGCAATTTTTCTTCAAGTTTAACGTACATGTCTTTTATCATTTCATACTATAAGTTGTACAAACTAACATATAATTTTGGCATCGGGCCAAAATCCGTGAAGTAACTTATTTTGTCAGCATGCCTCACATTTGACCAAAAGCCCTTGTGTAATCTTCTTTTTGGCTGACTTTATCTTTTCTTGTTGAAGTATGGCAATATATCTGTTATAGTCTGTACTGGCAAGAACCAATGGATGAGTGATGGGTGCTTTGGTGTGGTCTCCTTTGACCTCTTACAGATCCAGTAATCCTTTTTGAAGCTGATGTCTTTTGCTTTCTCAATTCTTCTATGACATCAAAAACAATGGTCCAAGTTTCCAGAATAAAAAACCAATGTCATTTGCTATATTTTATCTTGTGTCTAATCCACTTTGGAACAGTGAGCCATTATTGTTTTACTTTTTGCTGACAACCATTTTCAAAAGTTACTTTGTCAAGTTGTCAAATACAATGTAAAAATGTAGTTTAAAAAGATGTAGATCAACTCAAATATCTTGTCTCTCTGAACATGATTTTAGTTTTTTATTTTTATTTTTTAGGGGGTTTGCTTGCCCTTTTTTGGGACCATGTTTTCACAATCTCATGTAAATATGTGCAATATTTAAAATTGAATTTTTAGGGGTTCATGAGTGGTTGTCCTTGAATTATCATTTGCCATGTGTTTCTTCCCAGTCTATCATTAAAAAATATATTTCCAGACGTGAGATGCTGGAATTATACTGTTATTTGCGTTTACCCCCCAAAAAGTTGAGTTAAAAGTGGTCACGTACAAATGTTCTGCTGTAAATAAAAGAAATATGAAGGGCACTAGGGGAAAAACAAGAGATGTCACTTTTTGGCATTTTGAGAACAGCAAAATTAAATGCTTAAAGCCCCACCTTTTTCCATAGTAAATCTTATTTCCCAATCCTGATATTAGGCGACGTATCAGGTTTTAGCCCAGGACACTTAGATTGGACTGAAAAGTTGCCGAAACACTTTCCAACTCGTGTCACATGTCAAATTATCAAAAAAATTAATATCTTTTGTTTTCCCCTTGTACCCTTCATATGTGTATAATACTCACATGTTGCATTTCTGATCTATTTAGATGGCAATAGGCAAGGAAGAATAATAATGTTGTCTTTGTTGCCTTTGTCAAAGGTTGAGGGCACACAAGGCAAGAAAAAGATAGATTTATCTGCTTACATTCCATTTTGACAAGCTTTAAACGTTCTTCTTTTGTATCATTCCTTTCAGAAACTTCTTGTGAATCTGTTTAAGGGAATGGATTGCTTATCAGTTTGCCCAGTGACAACCTGAGCAGTTATCATTGTTGTGGTACTATCCAAATCCTGTACCAGTTGATACATTTGAAATATTTTTTCCCTCATTGTTGTAAGGCTTAAAAAGTTGATTTACTACTATTGTTTAAGGCAGGTGTGGGCAAGCATGTTCAAGTCACGGGCCAGATTAAGCAATTCTGAAGATTTTGTGGACTAATAGAAGAGAAAAACTGGGTAAAATGGGTTGAAATATTCAAGCTCTCAAAAGTGAGACTAAAACTGACAGTACAGCATATATCACTCGAGGGCCTTTCATGAGATGAAATTGATATTAGATTTATTGCATCCTGCTGGGCCGAAAACTATTAATTAAAATTTTTAAGGATGACTGCCAGTTCTTATTAATTTATCAACCTACTACGGGATACATTCATTATTGAAAAGGGGGTTGACTCATGCGCCAGACTGAAAGTTCTTGCGGGTTTGATCTGACCAGCGGGCTGCAGTTTGTAGTTTGCTCTTGACTGTTTTAAGGCCTTGTATTTTCTAGTTTTAAAATATGCACAAACTTTTTAAGGGATTTTGTAAATGTGATGAAAAGAAAGCTCTTGACAACCATTCCAAATTGTGATGTGCATCTGATACTGCTGTGTACAAGTATATTTCATTTTATGAGGAAAAACTGGCATGGTCGCAAAATGAAAATCATGAGAATATCAGTTTTAAAAAGCTTGTAGGCTGACAATTTTATTTTTGTCTGACTATTGGTTTATTTTTATCCGGTGAACATGGGAAATTGAACGAAAATAATAAATCAGAAGTTGCACAAAAGGGAAGGTATGAGTCTGCAACATTTAGAATTGATTTTTTTTTTTTTATTTCATTTTTGTGATCAAGCCCTTTTTTTCCTTGTGTACTTATTTGCTATCAGCTGGATTCACAGTTTTCAAGTGTACATATTGCGCAATCATGTTATGTAACTACAAAAATGTTTGTCTGTTTTGTTAATGGTGCTAAATGATCACAGCACAAAATGTTTGGGCTTATGTCCGTTTGTACATAATATGTGTCACAATGTGGTGAAATCAGGTGCCTGTCAATTTTTAGGCATATGAAGTAATTGTTATAGTCTTACAGCTTGTTC